GAAGGCAGACGCTTAACGACTGAGCCACCCAGGCGCCCCTGAAATCTTACCTCTCTTTATATTCCCTTTCCTTCCCCTATTTATAATTGTCCTAAATACTTCCTCTACCCGCATTTAGAACCACATCAGATACTGTTATAATTATGGCTTCAACCATCAAACATAATATAGAAAATTTAAGAGGAGAAAGAAAGATTATCTCATTTCCCCATATTTTTGTTTATTGTGTTCTTCTTCCTTCCTTCTTGATGTTCCAAGATTTCTTCTTTTATCATATCCTTTCTGTTTAGAGCAATTCCATTAGCTCTAAAACCCTAAATTAAAATTTAGGGTTGGTCTGATGGTCACAAATTCTCTTAGTTTTCCCTAATTTGAGAATGTCTTGGTTTTCCTTTCATTCCTGAAGGATGTTCTCACTAGGTACAGGATTCTGGGTTGACAACTCCTTTTTTTCACCATTTAAAAAAAATATTGTGCCAATTCCTTCTGGCTTCCATGACTTCTGATATGAAATCTTCTGTCATTCAAATTGTCATTTCCCCGAGATAACATTTTTTTCTTGTGGCTTTCAAGATTTTTTTCTTTGTCTTTAGTTTTCAGAAGTTTAATTACGATGTGCTTTGGTATGGATTTCTTTGAGTATAACCTGTTTAAGATTTGCTCAGCTTCATGAATCTGTGGCTTTATGTTTCCTGCCATATTTGGGAAAATTTCAGTCATTATTTCTTTCTATGCAAAACAAAACAAACAAACAAACAAAAACCATTATTTCTTCTTCGGTCATTATTACTTTTTTTAAAGTAAGCTCTATGCCCAACATGGGGCTCGAACTCACAACCCCGAGATCAAGAGTCATGTGCTCTACTGACTGAGCCAGCCAGGAGCCTCTTTGAGTATTTTTTAAGCCCTACCCTCTTTCTCATCTCCTTCTGATACTCCTACAACACAAATGTTAGAGCTTTTGTTATAATCCCTCAGGTCCTTGAGGCTCTGTTCATTTTTTAAAATTTATTTTCTCCTGGAGCACCTGGGTGGCTCAGTCGGTGGAGCATCTGACTCTTGGTTTCGGCCGGGGTCATGATCTCAGGGTCATGGGATCAAGCCCCACATCGGGCTCTGTGCTCAGACGGGGATTCTCTCTGTCTCTCTCTCTCTCCCCGTCTCCCTCTGCCCCTCCCCCATACTCACTCTGTCTCCCTTTCTCCGGAATAAATAAATAAATCTTTAAAATTTATATTCTCCCTCTGTTGCTCAGATTGGGTCATTTCTATTATGTTATCTTCCAGTTTATTGATTCTTTCCTCTGTCACCTCCATTCTGCTGTTGAGCTCATCCTCTAAGTTTCATATCTCAGTGATTGTATTTTTCAGTTTTAAAATACCCCTTTTGTGCTTCTTTATATTCTCGAATTCTCATTTGTTTCTATTTTATACATTCTATTTCATTTGTTTCAAGTGTGTTCGTAGCTGCTTGCTGAAGCATTCTCATGACAGCAGGTTTAAAATCTTTGTCAGAGAATTCTAACATTTCTGCCATCTCGGTGTTGGCAACTGTTATAGGTCGAACTGTATTCCTGAAACACAAAGATGTGTTGATGTCCTCATCCCCTATTACCTGTAAATGTGTCCTTACTTGGAAATAGGGTCTTTGCAGATGCAGTTAAGTTAAGCTGAGGTTATTAGGGAGGGTCCTAATGAAATACGACTGGTATCCTTATAAGAGGAGGTAACTTCGGACACAGACATGGGGAGAATGCTATGTGATAACAGAGAAAGAGTTTGGATTGATACCAATGTGAGCCAAGGAACTGACAGCCACTCCAGAAGCTAGGGAGAGGCCAGGAAGGATTCTCCTCTCGGGGTTTCAGAGGGCGCATGGCCCTGTCAACACCCTGATTCTCGATTTCGGACTCCTAGGTTCCAGAACGGTGAGACAACAAATTCCTGTTGTTTTTAAGCCACTCAGTTTGTAGTACTATGTTATGGCAGCCCTGGGACACTAAGACAGCATCTTTCCGTCTTTTTCCTTCGGTTTGAGATCTTCCTGCTCCTTGGTATGATGAGTGACTTTCAGGTGAAACCTCGACACTTGGGGTATTATGTTGTGAGACTCCGTATCGTATTTAAACCTTCTGTTCTAGCCGACTTCCCGTGACACTGTCCTGTCAGAGGAAAGAGGCGACGCTGCCCTGTTACTGCCGGCGGTGGTGAGCATCCAGGTTAGCCCCGGGGCCTCCTCTGCCACCCAGGAGGGGCTGCTGGGTAGGGCTGGGAGTTCCAGCCCCCCACTCGGGCTCTACTGATTCCCCCCTGGCTGGGAGGTGTAAGGGGCCCTGTGACTGCTCTCCACATGGGTTCTACTGACACCATGAGGGGGAGGTGGCCCCATTGCTGAGGGGCAGTGCTGGATGTCCTGACTCTCCTCCAAGCCTCCTCTGACACCAGCCACCGAGGCAGGAGGCTTGGGTGCCTCGGTACAACCTTGTGAGGGCAGAAATCTAGGCTCCTCCCTTGGCCTTTGCTGGTGTAGGTGGGGATGGTGCCACGATTTTTCTGTAATGCTTGGCTGGGGAAAAGCAGTTATTGTCTAAATGTTTGCTGTCATTCTTGGCTGTTTCTTTTATGGTCTTTGGTTAAAGAGAGCGAGCCTTTTCTTGGGCCTTTTTTTGTCTGCACTCGTTGGCAGTTCCACGTTTCAGGCCTCCACACTTTGGGGTTACCACCTTCTGCAGCCCCAAGTATATGGTACATGAGGCCAAAAGAAACCTGGGGAACTTACCACCGTATTGTTCCTTGCATCCAAAGATCCCTAAATGATCTACCTTGTTCTCTCCACCTTTCAGAGCCTTTGTATGCTTTCTTGTTTAAGTTTGTTTGTTTGGTTAGTTAGTTAGTTAGTTAGTTAGTTAATCTCTACACCCAACGTGGGGCTTGAACTCAAGACCCAGAGATCAAGAGTGGCATGGTCTTCCAACAGAGCCAGCCAGGAGCCCCTGTATGTTTGTTTTATATACAATGTCAAGGGGTTTTAGTTGTACTTCATCAGAGAAATAGCAGAGAGTATGTGTATTTCCGTCTTCTAGAGAGAAGTCCTAGACTTCTTTTTATAATAATTAATTCAAACAATATAGGCCAAAGGTAAAAATACTTCCCCACTCTCAGTCTCCTTCAGAATCAAGAAAATGGGCAGCCTCGGGGCTTGAGGATGGCTCTCTAAGGAAATATTAGCCTTGGCTTCACTATCCCTCGCTCATTTGGGAAACCCCAAATACACATTTGTCAAAGAGTGTCTTGTGCTGCTTATGTTCAGTTTTTTTCAAATGACGCTCCACGGAGCACCTTCCTCAGGGTCACTTTGAGATGCTTAATAAAAAATGCATTCAGACCTGCTGAATCAGAGCCCAGGATTGGAGCCTTGGAACCTATATTTTAACAAGCATCCCTTGTCCCCGAGAGATCCCGAGGTGCCCAAATATTTGAGAACCACGGATCTAAGCCAGTGATAAAATTGCTGCAACAGACCAGGCCGAGGACGAAGCCTTATAGTGGGCCTGGATGCTCTCCTTGGGGAGCTATTACTCATTCGTCAGGGCCCTCTGGGCAGACTGGATCAACCCGTTCCTGATCCCCCTCATTGGCCTCACAGCCAGTCACTATTGTGCTGCTTTGCACAAATAATATCTTGAAAGTCCTCAGCTGGTGTTGTGCCCGATTTCACTTGCTCTCGATCTACCGTAGCTGCCCTGACCTTCGTTCTAGTAAACCTATCAGAGATCATCAAACTAGTCGGACGGGATTTGCTCTCAGGGAAATCATACTGGGTCCGGTGAGCAGAAACCATGCTTGAAAAAGAATCTATTTCAGATTGTCTCCTGGAATCAACATCAGCTGACCGATCTGTCCACTTCCACTTGCGCTTCTTTCCTGTTTTGAAACCCAGGATTGTATCTGCCTCTCTTCTAGAGGTTTCTAGCACCTCTCCTACTCCACATTGAGGAAAATAAAAGTATCCCCAGAGTGGTTTAAAGGTCTCATTTGCAGGCACTCCCAACGCTCTGAGAGATGTCATTTGTCTAGACCAAAGACTTGAACCTGGTTAAAGCAATGAAATACTCTTTTTTTTTTAAAGATTTTATTTATTTATTTGAGAGAGAGAGAGCATGCAAATGGGGAGAGGGGCAGAAGGAGGGGGACAAGCCGACTCCCCACTGAGTGGGGAGCCCGAGCAGCCTGAGGACCCCAAGACCATGACCTGAGCCGAAGTTAGATGCTTAACCGACTGAGCCACCCAGGTGCCCCAGCAATGAAATACTTTTAAAAACCATTTTAACCATTTATCCATCCTGGACTTTTCTTTTTTTTTTTTTTAATTTTATTTATTTATTTGACACACAGAGAGAGAGAGAGAGCACAAGCAGGGGGAGCAGCAGAGGGAGAAGGAGAAGCAAGCTCCCTGCTAAGCAAGGAGCCCATCACAGGGCTCGATCCCAGGACCCTAAGATCATGACCTGAGCCAAAGGCAGACGCTTCACCAAGTGAGCCACCCACATGCCCCCAGAATCTCCATTTTAAGTGCTCGCTTTGGCAGCACATATACTGAAATTGGGAATGACTCAGAGATTAGCATGGCCTGCTCTAAGGACGACACACAAATTCATGAAGCGTTCCATATTTTTTTAAAAAAGAATCTCCATTTTAACAAAATCCTGAGGTGATGCATATGCATGGTAAAGTTTGAAGAGCATTGGGCTAGACTTCCCAGTATGAAAATTTCTCCTTGACAGAAAATACAGGTACCAAGTGAGAGCAGAGGAGCTCTGGTCTGTCTTTATCATTCATCACTATGTCACGGTCACTTGTATGCTTTTCTCTATTGTCGTCTTGCTCTTTTTTTTTTTAATTTCTAACTTTGTTTCTCTTTTTTTTAAGATTTTATTTATTTATTTGACATAGAGAGAGACACAGCAAGAGAGGGAACACAAGCAGGGGGAGTGGGAGAGGGAGAAGCAGACTTCCCGCGGAGCAGGGAGCCCGATGCGGGGCTCGATCCCAGGACCCTGGGACCATGACCTGAGCCAAAGGCAGATGCTTAACGACTGAGCCATCCAGGCGCCACTGTCGTCTTGCTCTTGACATAACTTACAAAAAGCTCTTTATGTTGCCCTTACTATGTGGTGTTAAGTCCTCTGGACACTGTTTATGCAGGTCTATACCAGCTTCCTGCATTTATCATTGGCCTTACATGTTCCTTTCCACATTTAACCTGCTAAGACCTGAAGGTAAGGGATGTTTCTTCATCAAGAATCTACAAGGCACAATAATTCTCTGTATAGAAAAATCTGTTGGAGTCCAGGCAACAGACCAATCAGAAGGAGTTGCTGTAGTTCTCTTTCTGCATAAACCCTCAAGTGATCCTAGATTATCAAAAGAGTCCCTAAGACTGGCCCCTGGAGGATCTTGTTATTTATTCCAGAAAAGGAGACTATTCCACACTCTCACACTGTTGGTGGGAGTGCAAGCTGGTGCAGCCACTCTGGAAAACAGTATGGAGGTTCCTCAAAAAGTTGAAAATAGAGCTACCGTATGACCCAGCAATTGCACTACTAGGTATTTACCCCAAAGATATAAGTGTAGTGATCCGAAGGGGCACATGCACCCCAATGTTTATAGCAGCAATGTCCACAATAGCCAAACTATGGAAAGAGCCCAGATGTCCATCGACAGATGAACGGATAAAGAAGATGTGGTCTCTATATAAAATGGAATATTATGCAGCCATCAAAAAAAAGAAATCTGGCCATTTGCAACGATGTGGATGGAACTAGAGGGTATTATGCTAAGTGAAATAAGTCAATCAGAGAAAGACAATTATATGATTTCACTCATATGTAGAATTTAAGAAATGAAACAGAAGAGCATAGGGAAAGGGAAGGAAAAATACAACAAGATGAAACCAGAGAGGGAGACAAACCGTGAGAGACTCTTAATCATAGGAAACAAACTGAGGGTTGCTGGAGGGGAGGGGGTGGGGAATGGGGTAACGGGGGGATGGACATTAAGGAGGGCACGTGATATAATGAGCACTGGGTGTTACATAAGACTGATGTACCTCTGAAACTAATAATACACTATATGTTAATTAATTGAATTTAAATTTTAAAAAGGATGTTAGTTGCAAGATGCTTTCTAGGGGCGCCTGGGTGGCTCAGTCGTTAAGCATCTGCCTTCGGCTCAGGTCATGATCCCAGGGTACTGGGATCGAGCCCCCATCAGGCTCCCTGCTCAGCGGGAAGCCTGCTTCTCCCTCTGCCACTCCCCCTGCTTGTGTTCCCTCTCTCGCTGTGTCTCTCTCTCTCTCTGTCAAATAAATAAATAAAATCTTTAAAAGAAAAAAAGAAAGATGCTTTCTAAAAAAAAAAGGAGACTATTCCACCTGTTGTTCTCAGTAAGTTCTATATGTTTCTTAGTTAAGTCTCTGTGTAATAGTAAGACCACACCCCACTTTCAAGTGCCCCACCCCGGACCATTGATTTCTGGGAGCCCCACCCTATTTTCCTACACCGTTCCAGCTTCCACTTCTCCCCGTCTTCTGCTTGCAAAGCTACTTACGAAATCTGGTCGCTTTGTGTCCCGAATGAAACACCCCTGTCCACGCTAACGGTGCCTTCTATAGCTCCTCTGGAAGCTGGCAATCCCGGGGGTGCCGCAATGGCTCTGGGTTCGAAGGGTATCGTCCCCCGTTCTGTGCCGCACTCTGGCACCTGGGTTTTGAAATAGGTCTGCTTGTGTTCAGTCTCTCAAAGTCTCCCTTAGGCAGGTCCAGCAAAAAAGGACTCGATGCCATTATGATCCCCCTAGAGCTCCTCTTATCTTTTTCTAGCTCTTCTCACCACCGAAAACTCTTTTCTTCTCTCATGGGGACAAAGCAAATGACCCCACAGATACGACTGGATGCAAACAGACACTGAGGTGTGTTTGGGGGAAAGGAAGGAGGAAGAGAAGCTGTATACTTTCGTAGTGACAGGCCTCCAGGGAAGTCATTCAAAAGTGCCCAGGTAGCCCTGCATTTGGTTAATTTCCCCCACATTGAGGGAACTTCCCAGAGAGCTATTGATTGCTAATCTAATTCCTTTATGGTCAGTGAACATACTCTGTTATTTTCATCCTCTTAAATGTACTGGCACTTTCTTTATGGCCCAGCCTAGGGTTTCTCATGGCGAATGCTCCACACTTGAAAACAAAGTGCATTCTGCTGTTGCTGAGGGAGAGAGCTAACGATATCCATTAGGACAAGTTGAAGGATAGTGTCTTCATGATTAGCTATTTGCTCTACTGATTACTGAGGAAGGAGTGTTAAAGTCTGCAAGTATAATTGCGGATTTGTCTATTTCTCCTTTAAATTCTACCAGTTTTTGCTTCACATATTTTGCAGCTCTGTTATTAAGGTACACACACACTTAGAATTACACCTTCTTATGCATTGACCCTTTCATCGTTACAAAATATCCCTCTGTATCTCTGGCAATGCATCTTGTATTAAATCTACTTTATTGGATGTTAATATATATACTATATATTATATATAATCATGTTATATATAATATAAATACTATATTGAGATATGTATATAGTATATAGCTAAAATAATAGAGATTTCTTATGATTAGTGTTAGTGTAGTATATATTTTTTTAATCCTTTAACCTAAGTAACTGGGTCTCTTTTTTTTTTTTTTAAAGATTTTATTTATTTATTTGAGACAGAGAGAATGAGAGAGAGAGAGAGAGCACATGAGAGGGGGGAGGGTCAGAGGCAGAAGCAGGCTCCCTGCCGAGCAGGGAGCCCGATGCGGGACTCGATCCCGGGACTCCAGGATCATGACCTGAGCCGAAGGCAGTCGCTTAACCAACTGAGCCACCCAGGCGCCCCAGTAACTGGGTTTCTTAGAGGCAGTCTTTTTTTTTTGGTCAGTCTGGCAACTTCTGCCTTTTATTTGGAGTGTTGGCTACATTTACTGCACTACATTGGTGTAGTATTTTTTTTTTTTTTAAATAAGCTCTACACCCAATGTGGGGCTTGAACTCACAACCCTGAGATCAAAAGTTGTACGCTCTACCGACTGAGCCAGCCGGGCGCCCCCTTTAGCATAGTATTGACATGGTTGTTTCTAAATCCCTCTTCAAGAGGTCATACTTGCTTTGGGCACCACCAGGGAACAACATCCCTGGGCTCCCCAGTGCTGATTAGGTCGCCCTAGAGAAAGGGTCAGCCTTTCACACCAGAAGGCAATGGTTCTAGGAGTACCCCTGTTATAACTGCAAGGCGAGGAACATAGAGGAGATACTACTGCAGTATTTACCTAGGACCCACCTAGGACCATCCCCTTAAGATAGGACCATCAAAATAAATAAGTAAACAACAGTAACAAGAGCTAGCCTTTACTGAGTGTGGACTGAGGGCCAGGCAGTGTTGGAAGGGCTCCATAGGGAAAACCTCATGGAACCCTCACCACCCCTCTGTGATGTAGGGGCCATTACTGTCGATGAAGAAACAGAGCCACAGAGAGGTGAACAATGTCATCTAGGGCATGGAGTTAGGGTAGAATTTACATCTAGGTTCTTTTGACTTTGCTGCCCTAAATTTTTCTACTTTAAACTTTCTATTCTGAAAAATTTCAAACACATACAAAAGTAGAGCAATAGGGGTGCCTGGGGGGCTCAGTTGGTTAAGCGTCTGACTCTTGATTTTGGCTCAGGTCATGATCTCGGGGTCTGAAATGGATCCCTGCATTGGGCTCTGCACTTGGCCTGGAGTCTGCTTAAGATTCTCTCTCTCCCTCTCCCTCTGTCCCTCCCTACTCTCTCCCCACCCCCCTAAAAAATAGTAGAGCAAGAACCCCCATGTATTTATCCCTCAGTTTGAACAACTATCAATGCGAGGCCAATCTCATTACATACATACCCACGCTCGCTTCTCCTCCCCTGGATATTCTGAAGCAAACTCTAGATATTACATTATTTTATTCATAAATATTTCAGTATATTTCTCTAAAGGGATTTTTTAAAGCAAACCACAATATTGTTATCACACCAAAAATACTCACAGTAAAACCTCAATATCTTTTGAGTCTCTTTTAATCTATAGGTCCCTCCAGCATTTCTTCCCCGCCCCCCCCCCGCCCCACTGAAATTTATTAATGCAGGTGTTAACTAGTTTTCCTGTAGAGTTTCCCAGTGTCCATGAATTTTGGTGATTATAGCCCAATAGTGTTTTTTAAGTAAACTGATAGTTAGATGTAGAGACTTGTGAAAATCCAGGTTTGGTTTTTTGGCAAGACAATTTCATAGGTGACAATGCTGTGTACTTTCATTAGAAGTATGTAATATCTGATTGTCTCTCTTCTTGTGATGTTCACAGACATTAGTGAATCATTGCCTAGATCCATTTTTCATCAGGGATTGCCAAATGGTGATATTCTATCATTCCTCCTTCACTCATTAGCTGGAGTATTTCTATAAAGAAAAACTTTCCATCATCAAGTTTTTGGTTATGCTGAGGCATAATTTCATAGAAAAGACTACAGTGACAACCTTGTTGGTAGAGACCTCCATATACATACACCTCAAGCTTGGGCTCCCCATGTTTACAATCACACCTTCAGCCTTTCTTTCGAAAGCA